CTGTCTGGTCTTCAAGCACCCAGGTCACCTGTCTTGTCTTCAAGCACCCAGGTCATCTGTCTGGTCTTCAAGCACCCAGGTCATCTGTCTGGTCTTCAACTTGACTCTGACTCATGGAGACCTTCTGTGTGTCAGAGTTGAGCTGTGCTCCGTAGAGTTTTCAATGGAAGTCAATTTTAGAAGACAATTGATAGTCTTTTTTTTTTAAACTGAAGGTTGAATTTGAACCATGAACTTTTTGATCAGCAATTTACCGTATTAACACCCGGGGATGTTCATTGCCACATAGTCCACACCCTAGACCCCTTGCTTAGGAGATTTGCCCACACATTTTCTTCTCTGCTCACTGCTACCCTTCCAATGTCTACTTCACTCACTCACCATCAAGCTGGCTTCTTTGTGGCCCTTTCCATGTTTGATCTTTGAAAACATTAACTGAATTTTTCTCTGTGTCCCCTTCTAGTGTACAGGCGTTGGGAGGACTGATCTGTCTTCTTCCCTCCTTGACCTTTCGCGGCATGCCCATAGTGAATGCTTCAAAGGAGCTTGGCGATCGAATGCCCGGATGCATGTACCCAGCAAGCCAAAAGGAGCATTGGAGCAGACTCACTTGGCTGTCTGACTTTGACATTTGTATCTTGTAAATATTGGGAAAGGAAGAATTGCCCTCTGGCCCCAGTTGGTCAAGGGTGTGGCTACTGAAGTTCTTTTGCCACTTGGCACCATGGAGGGGTTTATCTTGTAGTATACACAGATCCTGGGGTGGGGGGCATGGGGAGTTCAGTGCACAGTTACTAAAGAAAAGCTGTGGCCTTGAACCCACCCAGAGACATCACAGAGGAAAAAGGCCCGGGGACATGCCTTTGAACGGTTTTGCAGCCATGCAAACCCTGTGATCACAGTTTTGCTAGGACACGCATGAGGTTGTTCTGTGTAGAATCTACTTTACAGCAACTGGCTTGTTTTGTGGTTATTATTTGGAGTGGTACTTAGGGACTTCCTGAGTTAGAAATGTGAGCTCTCAAGTATATATTGGATGATAACACACTGCCCTGTATGCCTTGGAAGATGCACAGCCGGAATGCTTCTTAGAAGTGAGGCTAGGGAGACTTCTTCTCGTGCATTTTGGACAGGTTATCTAAAAGGCCCGTCCCTTGAGGACACCATCCTTAGCAAAGTAGAGGATCCATCAAAAAGAGGAACACCCTTCACGAGGATTGGCGCAGCAGCTGCAGCCATGGGCTCACACACCGCCCTATCTGAGAGGATGGCTGGGGACCAGGCAGCACTGAGTTCTCTTGGGCATGCCGGCCCTGTGAGTCGGAACCCACTTGGTGGCACCTAACAGCAGCCACGGTCCTTCAGGGCTGCACCTGCATCTGCTCGCCCACTCTCCTCCTTTGGTGCTCGCCTTTGCTCTTTGGGGTCTTATTCCACTTCCTTCTTTCCTTGCTTCCCTCCCTCCCCTCCTTTTTCGTGGATGAGAGTAATATAGCAATTATGTGGAGAAGAGAGAGAACAGGACCCAAGGTTTCCTGTAGGAAGGAAAAGTATAGCCTCATCGTTTGAAGTGAAATGAAGCACAGCAAGGTAACACACCCTCTCCACACCAAAAATAGCAACAACAACAATAACAAATGGCCGATGCTCTCAGCTGCAATCTCCACAAAACCTCCAGTTTCCTCCTCAGCATCTCATTAAAATTCATTTTTTTTAATTTTCAAAGTTTTATCACTTAAGACATAAAAATCCATATTTCTACCCAATCTTATTCTTTTAAAGAAAACCCATTTTCTTAATATTGACAGCTTGAAGGTGTTTTTGCTACTCTGGATATTTTGTTCTCCAGAGAACGTGTTGACCTGATGCATGACCTTGATTGTTTTGTCACTTCTAAACTACTACTTACTCAGTCTCTACCTTTCCAGACTGCGGTCCCCATATCTCTCCCATACGTCCCTCCCAGTAGAGGGAGTACAAATGAGCAAACTCTAACAAGACACAGTTGATTGCAGCTAGAATAAGTAGCATGATATCTTTTTGGGGACATTTAAAAACTAAAGAAGGAACATTTTAAAAAATGTGCCAAATTAAAAAGAACATAGCTTACAGGAAAAAAGATATTAAAACCCATTTGTAAACTCCAAATATTGTTACACCAGAAAATTTGCAAAGGACTAGGGAAAAAATCATCATTCTATTTGAAATATAAGTGCTTAATTCATTCAATACCAAATAGCACTAAGTCAGTGAGTTTAGGCTTAATTGTAGGCCTGTTTTTGTTTGTTTGTTTGTTTGTTTTTAAATTAGAGATATGTGGCTAAAGATCACAAACTTGTAACATATAGAGCAATTGCAGCATATGCATTTTATCTTATTCAGCTACTAACCAAATTAGTTGGTAGAGGATTGTTTAGCCTTTGCACCTATAAACACCTGCTTTTCAAGTTTGGAATTTTGTAGAACGTTTTCAAGACCCTTCAGAAATAAGGAAATCAACCACTCCTTAGGACATATTTCCTCTTCTCCGCCCGCCCGAGTCTCATAAAGATGGTATGAAAGAAGAAATGAAGTAAGCCCAAAGAGTGCCTATGGGAATGAAGTGGTTTTGAAGGTTTCAGCGACCCAGCACATCACTCTTTAAAGCGTCACACTTAGGACTGATCAAGTTACTAGAAACCACAAAGCAATTGCAGCCTTATTGTGCACTTCCCCACCCCTTATTCCATAGGCTTCCCTTTAGCACTCACTCAGAAATATTCCCAACAAAACAGAATGCACCGTCTAGCTTCCGCCAGCAGTCCTTCCCCCACCCATCTGTATGGCAGTGCATTCAATGGGCTCAGCAAAAGAGAAAACAGACGAAGAAGCAAACTTACCATCAAACACGTTACTATAATAACAAAGATGCTGAGGAAAATGACAACCGCGTAAAATCCTTCCGTGCTCCAGATTTTGTCCGCTTCGTGCTGCCCTTGTAAAACATTTTTCTTTAAAAGCAAAACAGAAAGTCCACCGTTAAACGCAAGCTTGAGCAGAGTCGTGCTCTCTGAGCTACAAAACAGCGTACTAGCTTTGCTCCATTCAGACTGGGGAGCCCACCTGCAGCCTGCTGCCAGGGCTGCTTTTCAAGGGGCTCTCAGCCCAGGGGCTGCAAGCTTTGTGCACCGGGAGATGCCCGATCCTCTGGACGGGAACTAGCGTGCCTGTGGTGGCACAATCGGGGCTCAGGCTGCGTGCACGAGCCCCTCAGTCTCCGGGCCAGCTACCTGGCTCCTAGGTAAGAGAATTACATTCTTATCTGTGTGTGGGAAATTGTTTGTGAAGCTTTCCTCACTCTGTTTTATGTTCCCTCCCACAACACTGTCACCCTGGCTCACGTGTTGTCATGCAGCTTTTTACTTTCAAACAAAAGTGAAACAGGTGCAAACAGACCGCAGGATGCATTAATAAACAGCCGTCTCACAGGAGCGTTTCCGTCTTTTGTTTACCTCTGATCACATTTCTCTCCCCGCCTCAAACGGAGTCTACTCTGTCAAAATTTGATGCGAGTACCTTTCCGGTCTTATACAATTTCAGGATGCTGTATTTTCTTGAGAGCGAAAGCAAACACTCAGAAAAGCCCAGCTAGTTGGTAATAGAAGGTAAAACAAATAGGTTTGTTTATGTGAATTGTATTTTTGTTCACTACTTTGGAACTAGGATGGAGAAGAAGCATGAATAAAATATGAACGAGTTGCTAGGTTTTATTCCACTTTTTTTTGAAGTTGCATTCCCCAAAATACAGTTGTAGAAGGAAGTTGTTTTAAAATTCCAGAAGCTTTCTAGAGGGCCGCCGTGAGTCAGAACAGACTCGAGGACAGTGAGTTATGCAGACTTCTGGTTGAAGACATTTTAACTTGAAATCAAGGGTTTATAGCGAGGGAACACCCATGAGAGTGAGATCACCATTTAAAATTCCATTTTCTTGGTGACTACTTCTGTTTCTCCCCTAACAAGAGCGCTGATCTGTTCTGCAGTGTTTTCTCCACATGCAACGCAGCCTTGTCTTGTAGATGTCTGAATGTTGAAGTCATTGCCCTTTATTTTTCAAGCTTAAAAAAAAAAAACCCCACATAAGTTCAACATTCGTAAGTTATATGAAAAACAAAATATTTTTCTTGTAAAATGTTTTATAAAACTTTTATTTTATTAATCAAGGTGGGTGGGAAAAAAACACAAATTCCTGAGTGCAATTGTGATTATAGAGAGGAAATTGCTCGAATTCGTTGCTTTCATTTTCTTCTCTTGTAAAACAATTGGATGCACACATTATAATATCTGATTACTCCTAAGACCAAGACACATTCACAGAAGCAAGACAAGACACAGGTATACATTTATTGCTGTTGTTGTTTTCTTAAGGAACTCCAGTTATACATTGGATTCTTAATCACAAGGTCAGCAGTTTGAAACCAGCAGCTGCCCCAAGGGAGAAAGATGAGGCGTTCTGCCCGGTCAAGGTTTACAGCCTCAGAAGTCCACAGGGGGCAGTTTTTCTCTGCGCGTAGGGTTGCTCTGAGGTAGAATGGACTGGGTTACATTCTTCTGGAGGGGCTGTGGCAGTGCAGGGGTTAAGGAGCTCATCTGCTAGTGATCACTGCTGGAGATCTGCAGTCTTTCTTTGTTTCGGAGGAGCCTGGTGGCACAGGAGTTAAGTGTTCAGCAGTTAACCCCAAACTTGGTGGCCTGAACCCACCCAGCTGCCCGCAGAGACCTGGAGCTCTGTTCTCATAAAGGCCACGGGCAGTTGTCCGTTGTCATGCGGGGTTGGTATGAGCTGGACTTTCCTCAACAGCCCCCAACATGGACAACTCTTCGATTTGGAACAAAACATCCTGCCAGAAATGACAACTTGGGTTTAAGTGCTAACTTTTCTTTTACTCTCTCTGACATCAGCTAGTTTATGATTCCTTTGTCTCTGTCCATGGCGCTGGAAATGAATGGAAAGTAAAGCTCATGTTGAAATCAGGCACACATTTAGAAATTAATTGTCTGGCAGGCACTACACAGCATTCATTGCTCGCTACAAGAGCCAACTAGCTAAGCCTTCCAGCAGGCAGCACACGCTTGTCAAATGCGAGCATGAGCAGGTGAGTTTAAGCATACATAACATTTAGAGGAAAAGGTCTGGTTAGGTGGGTGGGAAGAAATTTTGTGTTCCCACTTGGTTTGTCTCCTGCCCTCTCTTTGCACCCATTTCCTAGAGTAAGGAGTCCTGGTCTTGCAGCAATTAAAACCATCTGCTGCTAACAGGCAGGCCAGTGGCTTGACCTTTCTGGCCATGGCCGGAGAGTGGTCTGGCAGTCTGCCTCCGGAAAGATTCTCAACCTTTATACAGTTCCTCATGTGGTGGTGACCCGCCAACCATAAAATTATTCTTGTTATTACTTCATCACTGTCATTTTGCCACTCTGATGAATTGGGCGACCCCTGTGAAAGGGGTTTTAAACCCCCAAAGGGGTCGTGACCCACAGGTTGAGAACCGCTGCACTCTGGGCAGTTCTACTCTGTTCTACAGAGCGGCTGCCAGTCAGACTCTGTTTGGGGTTTGGTTGGAGTTTGGTCTTCTTTATTACTACAGATCTCTTGGGATATTAACATGCCTCTTTCTGTTCAAGACAGACCAGTTTGTTTTCTTCTTTAACTGAAGCAGTGATGAATACTTTGTTAACCATCCCCCATTCGCTTCAGAAAAACAAGTGCTTTGAACTCTTAGAACTTAGTCACCACTTTCTTGGTAAATAGCTTTCCTTCTGACTCATGCAATCCTGCTGAGTATTACTATATTTGTACAGAGATCTAAAGCACTTGATAAGGATGGGGCAATAAATGGAAAAGTTTATAGTCAAGATCCCACAAATAGAAAGGTTGTAATGCAGCAGAATCTCCGATCTAACCTTTGCATAGCGTTCATGCGATGACTTCAGGACTTTGTTTGGGGCCGAGGGTTCAACGTTCGAAGCTGCGTGGCTGAGTCAGACCAGTGCCACTATGCTATTTCCCGTTTCTCTGCTAACAGAGTTGCAGGGAAAAGAGCAAGGGGGGTTCGTTGACTAAATGCTGGGCAGATTTCGGTATTGATCATAATGGCTTTACTGGATCCTGTTGAAGTTGATACAATCTCATTTCCTAGTCTCGCTCTTGTATTTAAAGACAAAACAAAACAAAGTGTGATTCCAGATGCTGGAATTTAGGAGATACATTGATTCAGAGACTGAAGCATGTAGAATAAGAAAAAGGTTAAATTGTTAGAAATTATCTGGATGGGTTTAATTAACTGACATAAGTGAGATGTGTGCGACAACACATGATTTTCATGGCTCGTACCAAACTTTTACTGTACATGTACAAGGTGAACGACTGGTTTGAATGACCTCACATATGTTAAAATTGATTATATACCTCTTTAGCTCTGTATGGCTCCAGCTATAGTTTCTCAGACTGCTGGCTAATGTTCCTAGTTCAAAGGTATAATCACTCAATTTGTGGATGAAAGTTTAGATTTATATATCATGGTTATTTATTTTTGTAAACATTCCAGGAATATATTAGTCAGCACATTGGCTTGGTATTTAAAGAAGGTAGCTTCCTCCTTTGAAATATAGAACCTGTGAAACTGGAGTAATTTGCCATTGAACAAAAACAAAATTAAAGGAAAAGAAAACAAGTAACCCAACAGAAACCAAACAAAGCCTCTAGCTGACCTCATCAGTTCAATGTCAATGCAGACCTCCCTGTTAAATAGACACTTAATGAGCTGCATAAAAATAATTTTAAACAAAAATCATAATAGCAACTTTTATTTTATTTTCTTGATGGGTTGAGTTATTGGGCAAGAAGAGGCCAAGGTTTCATCTTTATGAACAGCTTAGGAAAAAATACTAAAATAACATGTGAGCACTTACAATGCTCTAAGGACCAAATAAAATATTGATAAGGAATGACCAGGCTTACTCTCAAGAAATCTGGATTTGAAATGAATGAAGATGAACAAGCAAATGCAATAGTATGTTTGGTATTTTTTTTAGAACCAAACCCCGGGCCAAGGGAAAAACAAATGATCTGAAATTGATGGTGAGGAGGGCATAGGATGCCTGGGGGGCTTAATCAAGGGCAATGTAGGCGAGAGGAAGTTTCGAAATCTGAATGAAGGCTGAACATGATAGTGGGACAAGAGGAAAGTAAAAGGAAATAGAGGTAAAAACTAGGAGGCAAAGGGCATTTATAGAGGTCTAAATACAGGCATGTATATATGTAAATACATTTATATATAATGATATGGGAACAGATCTATGTACATATATTTATTTGTTAGGCATTAAGACAGTAGATGATGGACACTGGGCCTCCACTCAGGACTCCATTAATGCAAGAACATTTTGTTCTAATAACCCAGCATTCTGTGATGCTCATCTTCCCTGACACGATCGTGAAGACAAAATTAGTGCATAAGCAACTGTCGTGAAGAGAGCTGGTGGTGCCCAGCTATCAAAAGATATAACATCTGGGGTCTTAAAGGCTTGAAGATACACAAGCGGCCAGCTAGCTGAGAAGCAACAAAGTCCACATGGAAGAAGCACACCAGCCTGTGTGATCATGAGGTGTTGATGGGATCAGGTATCAGGCATCAAAGACCCAAAACAAAGCAAAAAAAATCATACAAATGTGAATGAGGAGGAGGTCAGAGTGGAGACCCAAAGCCCATCTGTAGACAATTGGACATCCCCTCACAGAAGGATCAGGGGGAAGGGATGAGCCGGTCAGTGTGCAGCATAGCACTGATGACACATACAACTTTCCTCTAGTTCTTTAACGCTTCCTCCTCCTCCACTATCATGACCCCAATTCTACCTTACATATCCAGCTAGACCAGAGGATGTACACTGGTACAGATAAGAGCTTGCAACAGGACAGATAAACCCCTCAGGACCAATAATGAGAGAAGTGATACCAGGAGGGTAAGAGAAGGTGGGGGAGTAAGGTGGAACCAATCACAAGGATCTACATATAACCCCCTCCCAGGTGGGACAGACAACAGAAAAGTGGGTGGAGACAGTGGTCAGTGTAAGACATGAAAAAAAATTATAAATCATCAGGAGTTTATGAGGGAGGGAGGGCAGAGGAGGGAGGGGGAAAAAAAGAGGAGCTGATACTAAGGGGTCAAGTAGAAAGAAAATGTTTTAAAAATTATGATGGCAACATATCATGTTTGACACAATGTTCTTGACACTATGGATGCATGTATGGATTGTGATAAGAGCTGTATGAGCCCCTAATAAGATGATTTAAAAAATCAAACTAAGAAAAAGACAACAAAAAGTTCTTTCGTGAAAGTAAATAATGTGTGTTTGCTTGCAGGGGACAACACCAGAGACACAGTGTGGGAATTGCACCCGATCTGATTCCGCC